GAGAACCCTCCTGCTTGATCTGGACACCTCAGCTGATGGCCACTCCTCAACTCCAGGATTTTTTTGGAGAGGCCTACCATATTTGCTTAGTGTGAGAACAATCCACAAAATCTACATTTTAAAGAGAGGCATAGCGTATTTGCATAGTATTAACTATATTATGTTACACATTCGTGTGTAAATATATATCTACAATATTTTTATTTTTCAAAGTTTTGAATTTAGAATGTGCCATGAAAGTGAATTGATGGAAAGCTGTGTTCACCCGTACAGGTGGACAAATAACTGCCCAAGTATTCTCTGCTGTCTCAACTGCAGCCATGAAAATCAACTTGCGGCAAAAAGGTTGTTTTTAAGTTTTAAGGTTGTTTTTATTTCAGCAATTTATGCTTGAAGAAGATAATAAGATCTGCGGCTATAAATGATAAATGTTATGTTTATGTTTCATAGTAATGCAAACAAAATTTTATCACAACTTTAATTTGTACAACTTGTTCCGAAGCAGCAGGGCCTCCCCTCTGGTACAATCGTCAATAGTTTGGTCCAGTCACTCCACTGTCAGTCATAGTCTTAGTTTGGTATGGGAATGTGTTGGATTTTATGTTTTAAAGTAAAGAAATACTTTGAATTATTGAACAATGAAGAATTTTGGATTTTTTAACCTATTTATCAGGTATTTTTAAAATCGTGTGCATCATCAACAGCATCTTTTTGTTAGGATGAACACACACATATGCATGCTGACGTAAGGTCTAAATCTGAGCTGTTCGATTTAGTGATAACTATTTTGTTGAAAATGACTGGGTAGCTGTTGGCTTACTTGTAGGCAGGGGTTTCTGTGAGTTCCTCTCATCACCATCAGGAGTGAGTGGGTCATAATCAAGGTTTTTTTTCTTGGAAGATTAGAAGATTGGCGTAAAAGAAGAAATCTATAAACATAAATTGCATGAGAGATTTTTTGAACGATCGACAATTCCTTGTGTAGTTTTGTGTTGACGCCCATGAACTGAGAAATATTGCTACATGGATTTCTGAGCAAAGTTGCCTGTTTTATACAGCAGTAAAATGATAAGCCCGGCTGTCTCCATCATGTAGAATGGGATTTGTCAGGGTGGAAGTTCTTGGGTTAGGTTGTGAAAAGACGTGTTTGGTTCTGTAGAACGTGTAGATTATATCGCATATTTAAAAAAATGTAGTGGTGATGGAGGTTAGCAGGCGTGTAGGCCGGGGGATGTCTAGCATGGTGTCGTGACATGCGCTCACAGCACAGTTCAAAGTTTGAGCTTCCAACATTCCCAACTGTTCATCTCCTGTCACATAGGACAGCACCAGGGGCATGAACCCTGGCAGGCAGGGCCCAGCAGAAACATGTGTAAGCCTATATATATTTTGCGAGAATATGTATACATTGTTTGTGTGCATATTCCACAATACAGCAGGAGCTAAGTAGTTCGACCATTAACATCCCTCGCGGTCACTCAAAGTGAAAATCTGCAAGTTTTGAAAAAGGAGCACAAATGGATGTTTCATTTTTTTCCCTTCAACTTCACAAGTTTAGACTTGATTTTACATCACTATTACAGCCGTAATTTAGGATCATGTGTGTAGTCAAAATTTGTTTCCTTGAATGTTCTGGTTGAGGTTAATATTCATTTTTTTTTTACTGGTCATCTTTGATAATTTCCCCACACGGACTTTGAATACCTTGATGAATGTGATGGCTTTCCTCCAACTCCAAACAGAGAAAATTGTTTTTTCTTTGCGACCATTCTGGAACTTGATCATCAGATGAGGAGTGATGAAATGTTTTGTAATTTTACAGCTGTTGTGACAAGGTAATGAAAGCACAGAGTATTTTTGACAAATGTGTGTCATTTTTTGTGAGAATCTATATATATTTATGCAGCATCTAGTTGTGCTAAGTCGATGGCGCTTTTACTAAGTCTTTAATATTGTTTCGTATGATGCTTTGAATTTTCTTATATTTTAAATTCTTATCACATGCACTTGACACCGTATGCTTACCGTTCTCATGCTGAGTCTCAGAGTGAAATTTACATTTTTTTGGGTGCAATGATCATATGAATAAATATTTCCTGCAAATGTATTATTTTCAACTAAAAACCCCCAAAAGAAACCCAAATGCTCAAACCCATCCTGCATTGAGAAAAGACAAGATTTGAGAACAAAGTAATTGGTGATGGGACTATTAAGAGACTTTAAAGGCGACCTATATTTCAAGGGAAGACATGAAGACAAATTGTATGAAATTAATGATTTTGTAGAGAGAATTTTCTGTGCTGTTGTTGGCGAGAGAAGAACGGTGTTTGGTGAAACTGTTGTGCTCAGCTCAACTGTGAATGTTGGCCCAGATGGAGGCTGGCTGCTCATTTCTTTGTTATTGTTGTTGTTGTTGTGGTGAAGAGAAAGCTGTCCTGTCTGTACATCCCGACTGTGGGCGGGCCGCTGACTGCGACTACGTGACTCTGTGTGCAGTCATCTGTTGTCCTGTCTGTACATCCCGACTGTTGGGCGGGCCGCTGACTGCGACTACGTGACTCTGTGTGCAGTCATCTCTGTAAAGTGACTTGTTGAACTAATTCCTGTAGTAGAGCCCAGAACTTCTTCCCGTCTGGCTTAGTAGAGAACTAATCTAGTAGATTATTTCAGTTTCCCTCAACTAATGCTGCTGTTTATGTTACTGTTTTTTTGCCTAACCTTTTCCTCACAATGATTTGTTGCTGGGAATGCTATATATATATATATATATATAATTGATTATATTGATATATATTTTGTTGCTTCAATCAAAGTTAGACCAGGTTATGTTGTAATTTTGGGTTGTGGATTGTGACACTGGCGACGGTGACGCTGGGGAGAGAAGGAACTATGTCATTACCTCATGACCTTACACAACATCCTTGAACTTGACGTCTGTTGTGACTTATCCTTACCTCTGAGACCACGCAACTCCTCAAATGTCGTGAGTGGATGTCACAATGGCCGCCCGGAGGGGAGATTCTCACCGTTCAGTCGTGGACGATATTATGAAAGTATCCAATATTGTTATGTTGTATCATTTGCTAGGGTAGTTCTACACATGTACCATAAACGTACTATAATAAGCGTTCTATACACCATTCCCTCATTCAGACAAACGTCCTGCAGATAATCTAGTCCCTACCAGTTCATGAATCCACTTTTTAAAAAACATACTAGTTTTGTTTTTGAAGAGAAGTGAGAAACTATTGTACTTTATTTCTACTTTTTGAAAGAAGCACCATGTTGTTTTCGAAAAATATATATATATATAACAGAAGAAGAGATGACCCATACTGACGGGATGTGTTATCGTTACAATTCCAGTCCTAAGGAAAAAACGAGAGGTATTGTACTCCCTGCTTTGAGTTTGGTGAGGCGATTGTTGCAAACCCCTCAAGTGTTATATCTACTACTAGTTCAGTACAGAACTCTGGACTGTTGAGAGACATTCCTCATGAAACTGGATCAAAGTTCGTTCATTCATTCAAACGAAAAATGTCACCAGCAGTAGCTATGCTGGGAGCTCTCATTTTTTTGTCAACCGCTTTCTGTATATCATCGAATCTAAAAATGGCTCTCTCTCTTTTCATAACAATTTTTTTGTGGTCTTATTTTTACATTTGTTTACAGTACATAAATACTCCCAACTACTCAATATAGTTCTGAGGCTGAAGTCCTTGACTTGTTTTTATATGTATGGTTTTATAGTTTATTTTACAATCCATTATTCACTGCCTCTGTGACCCTGTGTGGCTAAGTTAACGTTTATGTTTCTGGCTATATATGACACATTTATTGTTTTTCTGCAGCTTGCATTTATTGTACTTGCAGGACGAAAAAATAATGAGGAACGTTTTATTTCTCTTTTGGGTTGTCATCTTGGCAACTGTTATGAAAAGTTTGTTTTCTTTACTTTTCCATTACAAGAATGTTCTTTTCATCCCATGAAAGGAAAAAAAAAATAACTCGTGCATGGCAAGCGCAGAGATGTTAGTTCTCAACTTCTCGTTGTTATTCCCTGAAGTAGTCTCTCTAGATGGATAGTGGTGGGGGGGTTACTGGGGATGAATTTGAATTGGAGATTTGTTTCTTTTTGTGTAAGAATTTGTAATTTGACTGAGTAGGTCTGTCTGTGAACCTTATGTCATGTGTAGTGAATGTGTGTGCGTGTGTGAGGTGTAGAAAAAGTATGTGTTCGTGAATGTTTGTCTTGTACGGTGTGTGCGTGTGTGAGTGAGAAACTGGTTTGTGCGCGTGGATACAAACATGAATGCTATGCTGTGTCTTCTGTCCATCCAGAAAAAGCATACATTTCATATATATGTTTGAGTCTGTAATGATGTAGAATTCTGTGAGAGTTTGTGACTGCTTTTTAGAGCATGCCTGTCTTGTTTGAAGATTGTACAAACTTAATTTGTGTATCCCCCTCCCCCCCCCTGACGTGAATCCACCACCCGTCCCCCAACGAGGTGGGACTCGTGGAGGTAGGGAAGATTTCTGCAGCTAGCTTACAACAGCTTTGCCCTGGTTGGTTTCCTCTCTCTCTGGTCCCCACTTCACCCACGTCCCATTCCCCATCGTCTTGTTCGGGACTGCAGGCCATGGTTTTTTTTGTTCTGAGTGTATTGGCTTTTACAATGACAAGTTTTTTCTTTTCCATCTCCGTTTTTTTCTGAACAAATCAAGCTTTGAGTGTCTTTTTGTGGCAGTCCAGGAAAACCCACATTCGTTCAGTTGTTATTGATATTATTTGATGAGCGCTTTGAAAGCTAGTTTTTCAGCCATTCTATCGTGTTTTGAGACTTAATAAAAGTTATGGAGCATGGAGGTAAATGTGATGCTGGGTGAACAAAAACATTTTGCATAAAAAATTGAAGTGGGTTATCGTGAAGTTGAGGATGATAGGCCTACTTCAGTGGGTGTTCCTGTTACGTACAGACTGACATCTCCTGCTTCTTACTATTAATAACGGTTACAAGATCTTCATATTTCGCGTAGTACAACATCATAAATGCCTTTGATGTATTCACCGACTTGATGTGTGAACAGCATATTCTATATCTCCGTACTCTACATGTTCTTTGTCCAATTGCTTTTACTTTTCTATGATGTCTATGTAGGACTTTTCAATTCAATGCCATTTTTATCTTTTTTTAAAGCCCAGCTCTTTTGGGGTTTTGTTTTGACATGACGTATACAGGGGGGAAAACAAAAATGTCTCTTTATAAATTATAACTCTATTACTCTGTCTGAACAAACTTGCCCAATATCCCGAGTTGTAACAAAATTGTACACTTTAGTGTCTTTACCATTTTATAACTTTTCTAAAAAAAATAATATTCTCAAATGAAGTCTTTACTTTTGACCACTTTACTACATCTTGCAAACATTTGGTCTGCCAGACCCTGCCATGAGCTGCTTCTTTCAATACGTGTTTTTTTGTGGTTTTTAACAAACTTTAAAAAAATTAAAACACACACCCGATGAGCAACTGGATTTCGGACAAAATCTCTCTGAGGTCAGTGTGTGATCCCGCACGTGTCCACCGACAGAAAATATTTCTGTGTGAAGCTCTAATGCGACTTTCTCATGAATTCCAAAGGACTTGAAGTTCAT